ATATAATGTCTAGTGTTTTGCAAGGGTAAAACGTACACCATTTAAATAACAGAAATTGTCGTAATGTAGAAAATCTGTAGTACTGTGTACTACCGAGTACATGTAGTTGTATTCTGTTTGGTTTTATATCGCACTGAGCAATATTCTAGCAATTTAAGACGGCGACATGTAAGTAATTGAGTCTGAACCAGACAATTCAATGATAGAGCAACAAAGTTAACAAAGTCACCGACTCGGGCCACGCAATCCATTATGTCGCATCTTATGACAAGCATAGATTGCTGGGTACCTATTCTAACCCGGAATACCCAAGCGGAGCTCTGCTTCTACAAGACAGTGATAGGCTATAGAACGTCTTCTCAGTTGTGAGTGAGTGAGTATGGTTTTACGCCACTTTAAGGAATATTCCAGCAATATCACGGCGGGGGACACCAGAAATGGGCTTCACACATTGTCCCCATGTCCGGAATCGAACCCATGTCTTCGGCGTGACGAGCGAACACTTTAACCACTAGGCTATCCGACCGCCACTTGTGTGAATGACGGGTGCTACCTGTAACTGACTTTCAGTGGTCAATTAATCTAGACTGGTTATTCTCTTGCATTGACAATATAATTATATTTAATCAGTTTGTTTATCTGTTGTGCTGACCCGTGAAAATCCGGGGTAGAATAGGTCTTCAGCAACCCATGCTTGCCGTAAAAGGCGACTATGCTTGTCGTAAAAGGCGACTAAAGGGATCGGGTGGTCAGGCTCGCTGACTTGGTTGATGCATGTCATCGAGCCCAATTGTCAATCGAAGGATTGAAAACATGTACCAGCAAGGTTGTTTAACGCCGCACTCCAATATTCCAGCTATATGACGGCAGTCTGTAAATAATCGAGTATGGACCAGACAATCCAGTGATTAATATCATGAGCATCGATCCACGCAATTGAGATCGATGACATGCATCAACCAAGTCAGCGAGCCTGACCACCCGATCCCGTTAGTCGCCTTTTACGACAAGCATAGTCACCTTTTACGGCAAGTATGGGTTGCTGAAGACCTATTCTCCCCCGGAATCTTCACGGGTCAGAATGTAGGGAGAGGCCTGGAGGTGAAGTGTCTGTTTTAGGTGTTGAGATGTGTGCAGTTTGAGATTGTACTGGGGCATGAGGGTTTGTAGGGGATGATAGCAGAGTTGGTACGACTGGTGAAGTGTGTGCACGTGGGACAGGTGCTGAGGGTGCATATTCTGGTGATGTCACTGTAGCCGAATTTTGGGATGGGGTTTCCTGCCTTACCCAGTCTCTGCTTGGGGTGCAAATGTGAATGTTCTGACCGTGGATGAGGTGTTGACTGAAGGACTGGTTTGCATGTATTGAAGATGGTGCTGGGTTTTAATTTCTGATTATCAGTCACTTTACCAGGATAAAGAGGAAACAGTCCAGATTCGAAGAAACCCCTCTTTGCATTTTCTGTGGTAGCTGCCTTAACCAAGCAGTAATGAATACGCTGGCAAAGGTACATTTCCTGACGCATTCTCCCATAATTGAAATCTGAAAATCTCGGACAGATTACCGCTATGAATGTTTGAGAGGACTAAACAAGCTCAGGTCCAAAGGTTGAATAGCTTGTGATGCGTGTGATGGGAGAGAGAACAGGACGATGTTGCACACAAACAGTGCACGCTTCTAGGGTCAGGTGCGTTGAATGACCGTCTAGAAACAGAAATATTGGTTTCTTGACTGCCTGTTTATCGACATGAAGAATGAAACACGTTTGAAGCCAATGAACAAATAGTTCTGCGTCCGTTCTCGGTTCGCCTTAGAACCACCTCCTCAAAACCATCTAGGGGGTTGTATTTGAACCTGCTACCGGGAGTGTAGTCATCTGAAGCACTTGCGCAAGCAGGAACTGTCATCTGGCTCTTGTCTGAGGCCGAGACGTTATGCACTGTCTGGAATCCTCGTTCGGCCAGAGCCCCACCACTCTTTTGACACATGGGGAAACCCGATTCATCAGCATTAAACAGCCTTGATGGTTCATATAAGATGTCTGAATCAGTTTTGTCAGCGAGGTAGGTTGTGAAGGTATCAAACCAATCAGCAACTGTTTGTTGTGATACCATAGCCCGTTCTTTTGAAAGTTGTGTGGGTGTTCTTATTGATATTGTTGGGTTTCGTTTTAAGAAAGCGCTAACCAATCACTACCAGGTCTGTCATCATTTTAAGGAATTTCCGTACCATCTAATCTGATTATTTTCTGGACCGTGTCTAACAGTTCGTCCCTTGTCCGGCCGTACCCTATACTCGACATGTGTATAGCCCAATCTGAAAGATGTTTTTCCTCCTCCTGTGATAAAATGGGTGAAGGACCTTTGCGGTAAACAAGAGGTACTTTATATGAAGAGTACTTTTGGGTGTTCCGAACGCGACGGCAGCTTTGCGTGATGACATCTGCTTGGCGTAAACAGCATGCATAGCCCGCTTTAAGTTTTCAATTGAATAAGCAAGTTTTCCTCTTCGAACGCTCATTTTAGCAAATCTACACAGATGGTCCTTGTTTATAATAATATTAGAATTAATCCAAGGAACTATCATATCCATATGATGAAGAATATCGGGAATGTTACTGGTACTTACTATTTTATATCAGATTAGAATGAATGAGGGTCCTGATGGGTGTCACTGCTGATTGTAAACGTAAAAAACGTTCAGTTTCATCGCAAGAGTAAAATGTGAAATGATGTATTCCTTATCAAAAACACCGCGTGCATGTTAACTTATGACTGATTAACGACACTGCGATAACGTCTTTATTGATGAGATAGACAGTTACAGAATATTTACACTAAAAGCGTGAACCGACATACTGTTCTTAAGAGAACTGATGGTGTGATATTACGGTATTCTACAAATGTATATAAACAACGGTTGATATATTGCATGTACAGGCAGTTTCACATCGTTTTCATATAATCTTTCTTAGTAGGTGTTTCCACATTTAACAGTTTCACATACAAGGAGCATTATATTTGTCCATAGATTGTATTCAATAGCCATAGTACTCTCTGTTGGCAAGCCGCCAAGTCAAAAGGACAGAAAGGTTTCGTCATCATCGTTCCAGATGCTAGAAACAGTTGTCACATCTAGTAAATCAATAATAGACTCAACAAGAATATTTCTTTGGTGTTGTGTCATTTTTTATTTTTATTTATTTATTTATTTTATTTTTTTTGAGAGAGAGAGAGAGAGAGAGAGAGAGAGAGAGAGAGAGAGAGAGAGAGAGAGAGTAAAATGTGAAAGTAGGATCAGATTATAAATATATATATAAATTGGATATATGTTATTGGAAAGTGTTGGTGGCCTGATATTCGACAAACGGTGAGTCAAAACGCAGCCATTGTCGACTTGCAATGTCTTAAACGACATTGTTTTCACGCTTCTTCAAAAATGTCATTGAGAAAAACAGTGAAGCAAAATGAAATTATGGCATTCGTAGCTCATGGTAGTGGCTATAAAAGGGCAAGCATAAGCCAATAATTTGTCATTAAGTTGTCAACATTTTTCAAGTTCGAAAATGCCATTGGACGAAAATGCCAAAGAGGGGAATCGCACTCTTCTGTTGCACGCCACTTCAACGTCCACCACAGCACCATTTGCCGCCTTTGTGACCGATACACACAGTTTAATTCCACTGCAGACCGTCCGAAAACCGTCCGACCAAGAGTTACCACTCCTGCACAGGATCGCTGCTGTTCCACCTACGTCATCACAATGCCACAGCTACGGAGACTGCAGGACGCATCCCTGGTTTGAGGAGGATATCGGACCAGACTGTCAGGAACCATCTTCGCGAGGCTGGAATCGGACCCAGAAGACCAGTTATCGTCCCTGTTTTGCAACAGATTCATCGACAGCGACGCTTACGTTGGTGCCATGCCTTACAGCCTTGGAATTTGAGAAACTTGAGACGAGTGTGGTTTAGCGATGAATCAAGATTTCGTCTTCACCGGCGAATTGGAAGACAACGTGTTTATCGTCGTCGACATGAGGGTTTTGCCCCACATTGTGTACGTGAATTCGACAATTTCGGTGGCGGTAGTGTCATCATGTGGGGGGGGGGGGGGGGGGGGGGGGGCATATCCTACACCACAAGATCTGACTTGGTTGTGGTTCAGGGAAATTTGACAGCAAATCGCTACATCAATCAAATGCTTAAACCTCACCTTCTTCCAATCACTGACCGCCAGAGGGAGCTGTTTCAACAGGACAACACTCCAACGCACACAGCTCGTGTCACTGAGTTCAGCGCAACCTTGTGGTCTTATGTTACATGACAATGAACAGTTTTCAATGCCTTTGTACAACGACAACATGTGACTATCGAGCTCCATAATGTCATATTAGTATCTATGATATTAAATAAAATATATGGACTTTGTTAGGTGATATAAATTTACTAAAAATCGACCTGTGCGTTTCTTTTTTTGAAGAGTGTATATACATATATACATATAAACATTTCCAGTATTGACCAGTACTTAATATAACATTACTGTATTTATTGTACACATTCTAACAATGATGACTTGATTATTCTTATTACATTTTCTGATTGACTATTATTTGTAAGGGTTTAAAACTCCCTTCTTGACCAGTATTAAATACATCCCATACCTCCGTGAACATGTTCACGGGTGTTAAAAGACCATGTCGTTTTAAAGGCCTCTCATTTAAAAGAAACTAATTTGTCTTTTTGCCTTTCGTCTGTTTTAATTAATGATCGAATGACTCGTTCACCATACATATTTAGCCACTAAGGTGTGCCACTGTAAATAGATTGAATAACATCGGTGATATACAACTAGACATACTTGGACAGTTCATTAGAATGTGTTCAACTCGAATTAAGGTCATCGTGACCTTCTTGCAGTGAAGCGCTCTGGTTCACTAACCGCGAATAACGGCTGTGCGCGGAATCTTGTATACTTGACATGGGCTGATTGATTCTACTGCTTAGCCCTGTTTGTGAATAAGAAGCTGCTGTTACTATGTATTGCGGGTATACAAACCAGGAAGTATATGATACTGTAGTCACTTTGACGGGAATATCGAACAGACTTTTGATATTTGAGGAATAATGCATTATGTCAATTGAACGATATTGGACGTGAAACATTTGACATATTTGGATTAGATGTTTATGGAGTGTTTGTCGGACGTCAGCGGGTACTCATCATGGCGATAGGAGGGTACTTGGGAATATGCCTCTGTCTAGCTGTCATAGCAGGTAAGTGTGAGCCACGCGGAAAGAAGCCTAAAGAAATTTTCATGTGGGGGCAGTGCGTGAGTAGTGGGTCAGATTTGGTGTGTGTGTGTGTGTGTGTGTGTGTGTGTGTGTGTGTGTGTGTGTGTGTGTGTGTGTGTGTGTGTGAAGTGTGTGTGTGTGTGTGTGTGTGTGTGTGTGTGTGTGTGTGTGTGTGTGTGTGTGTGTGTGTGTGTGTGTGTGTGAAGTGTGTGTGTGTGTGAAGTGTGTGTGTGCTCGTGACTGATGGGGAATATGTTTTTGTGGGTCAAGGTCGCTTGTGTCAGTGTGAAGAGAAATACATGATGGGTGGGTTGTTTTGTAGTAGTGTGTGATTGGAGAGAGAGAGTATCGGTGTGTGTGTGCGTGTGCGTGTGCGTGTGCGTGTGTTAGTGTGTGTGTTCGTTTGTGTGTGAATCTTAATAATTTATGATAAAAAAAACAAACATAACACAAATAATCTGAAACTGTGTCTGTGTGGTTGGGTGTGTGTGTGTGTGGAGGGGGGGGGGGGGGGGGGGGTGTTCGCTGATGTTAGTGGGTACAGTCACAGTATGTCGTGTGGATGTGTGGTTGGTTCGGTGTAAGGAGAGCAATAAAAGAGTCTCATTAAAACCATACACAACGAATTGAATCTGCTTTCAGAGAAAGAGCGGTAGTGAACTAATTTAGTTCAACCGCCAATGAAATTTTGGTGAAAGCAGTTGGCCAGATTGCGATGAAATGAAATACTTGACAGTGTGTGCTTTTCAGCCATTGCAGCTTGGAGCAACACATAACTGTGCTCCAATTTACATACGTGAGAGCGACAAAGAATGCCATGAAAGGAATATACGACATGCAAGGCCGATATGTACCTAGTCCACACACCTATACGTCGTAGGTATACAAATGAATATAAATAGATTGAATAACGCAGGGGAGAGAAAAAACGTTCATGGGCCTTCTAAAGCTAATACATCTGTACGAGTCGTGAACTTAAACACACCGAGCCACGACTCTGTTTATGTAAGCTTAGTTTACAGCTGTACACGCGAAGATAAAGACAAAAATACAATGTAGTACTTAAGTGTTTTAAATAAAAGCGACAAAACCCGTTCCATATTCATAAGAAATCTCGGCTAAGAAGTCGATTGTACAATAACAAATGCAATACCTTCAGACATAGTATCTTCGAAGGGCGACCTTTTTCTCTTCTTCTTATTCTTTCTATTGCTCAAAATGTAAATGGATCAGCATTCAATGCTTTAGTAAGGTTTTCAAAACGTTTTCTGGTAGATATGTTCAGAACATTTCCAAATTTGACGCATCAGTGACAAAAAATGTCAGATGCAATTCACTACTTTGACTTGTACCACATGTTCCCGTGATTGTTCAGGTGAACAGTTGACCTTCCTTTGCATGTATTTGTGACGGATGCCACCGATGGAGGTCACCTTTTGGCGAGCACATAGTATCGTCACTAATTGGTAGTGATTCATTGACACATGTTTATGGAATAGTAGGGATCTCTGCTTTGTACAATAATTATGGAAATGGCTTTGTCGCTATTATTTATGTTGCAAGACGAATCCTCATTTTTTCATTGTATTGTGCACATGGAAAACGGCTTCTATCTGTACATATCTACTGTTATTCATGATAGTGAATTACCCGGGTTACAATTGCTCTTCGGCAACGCATGCTTGTCATAAAAAGCGAATGACGGGATCGGGTGGCCAGGCTCACTGACTTTGTTAATGCATTTCATCGTATTCCAATTGCGTGATGTCAATCACTGGTCATTGACTGGTCAAGACAAGATTATTTACAGACCGCCGTCATATAGCTGGAACATTGCTGAATGCAAACACACGTGGTGGTTGATAGTTGTGTCTAAAACATGTATCGTTTGTTATGTTCAATAACATCACCTCTGAGATGAATCGGTCCCTGTTTTTCGGTGTGAACCACTGGGCTATCCCACCTCTCGGACAAATGAAAACGGTTGTTTGAAATGGTTTGAAGTGTGTCACGTTTTTTGCAGTATCAAAGGGTGCGAACCTTGACTGTGACTTTGAGACCAACTTCTGTCAATGGACACATGGATCATCTGTAAGGCAATGGAAGAGATACTCCTTTGCCACTTTAACACAGGGTACAGGGCCAGACACTGGTCACACCACACCAGGAAGAGAGGGTAAGAAAAGTAATAGCAGATAACCCTATTTATGGAAAATCTGGTGATCGTTCCCAGTGAACACAGGTCCAAAAGCCCGATTTTACACCATTACAACAGTCGCAAATATAATAGGAAATGTACGCAATGACCGGATTTGCGTATCATTATCCATATGAGCTTACTTTGTGGGTTTATTTCATATGAAGCTACCCCTTTGAAACATATCATATTTTATATCTATATGCACAAGCACCATTTTCATGAATGCTATGACTGAGTTTGTGCATGCATATACAACCATGACAACCGAAGTTGATAACCAAGTAGGTACTTGATCGTATTTCAAATGCATTTCTTTTGATTGTTTCTGATTATGTTCTAATTTTACAAGAGTTTGAAACATGGACATTTTCTTAGGCGAGGAAACGTTTGTACATTTGTTAATTTTCAAATCTTCACATGCCTCAGAAAGTTATGTATCATTTCGGGTATCAAGAGTATGTATTTGAATAGTTTTAATGTACTCATATTACCGGTAAGATTGTTCATATATGCTTCTATATTTTCACATATAAAAATGCCTTTGACGTCAATGCTCATATATCCTCATTATGCCGCTGACAGGTTCCCATTAGGTCGCAGTTTAAACACTTCCCTTAATTGTTCTTCAAACACAATACACAATAAAAGTAACAAAGAGAAATATGTTTACATGAAAAACATAAACTTTTACATAATGTTTGCAAGAAGAACATAAACATAAAAAATGCCTATATGAACACATTTTATGTATAGACACGTAAATACAAAAATACATAAGCACTAATACACATGAAAGTCTACATATATATAATTACTCAAACTCAGATGTTTGTGTGAGATAGATGCGCTAAGAGCGGTATTATTATAAAGGATATCTGCAGAATGATGATGTGCCATCGGAAGTATCGTCTGCGAGAAAAACGAGTATATTTCATTTCGTTATCAGCGAGATCGTTGAGGTAGACTAAAGACAAGAAGTGACCTAAGACCGAGCCCTGGGGGACACCGACTTTAGAGAATTTCAAAGATGAAAAGCTGCCATTTACAAAAACCTTTTCTCCGATGACTAATATTGTCTTCTAACCAAAGTAATTGCTTGCCCGTTATACCGTAATATTTTAGTTCATGAAGTTATCCTTTATGCCAAACTCTGTCAAATGCTTTCGATACATCACAGAACACCATACAATAATATTTATGCTTGTCAACAATATCATTATATTTCAATTAATTGGGAAGTAGTACAATATCCAGATTGATATTTGTGCAGGAGACTATTCACATTGAAATAGTTATATAAGCGTTTACAGAATAATCTCTCCTATAGATATCCAAGAAAAGATAACAGGCTAATTGGTCTGTAGTTTAAGGGTAGCGCTTTGTCACCTTTCTTGTATAATAATAGTATGACGTGAACGATTGCTTCTTTTCATGATCGATTCAAAATTATACATAATGGTCTAGGATTTATATATTTTTGCGTTATATGTCATGTGTGTTAGACCGCTACAATTAAGTATGTTTACTAACTAATACAACAATTTATAATTATATGCACCATATATTGTTTTGATTTATATCAAATTCAGGGTTCAATTGAGTGGCTAGTAGTGTGTTTTTATGCCAAAACAATATCTGTTAAGCTCGTCATGGACCATGAAGCTAGAGTAAACGGTCGTAGGCCAGTCGATAACTTAATAGACTTAAGATCTACTTTTTCCTGTAATTTAAATATTCTCATAACCACAGGTTTTACAGCTATTAAAGGAATTGGTAAAACTATAGTGTCAAATGGGCGACGAGACATTTCTCGAGTCTCCTGTTTGAGAGGAACACTTTGAATGTAACCAAAGTCATCTGTAATCTATCAGGCCAATCAGAAAATAGAACCGTATCATCGGCACAAGGCAACAGAATAGATTGCAATGATATGAATTCGTTTTCAAACATTTTCGGAAACAGATCTTAGTCTTTCTTCCTAAAACTTGATGCACAACACCCCCTCCCATCCCTTCTCCATTAAACACCCACTCACTTACTCACAATACTACATACACAACTATAATAACATTGAAAATGCATACACAAACTATAATCAAATGCCAAACTTTTCAGTGGAAACATATTTGATAATTGTTCTCCAGATTACTACATTTATCTATATGCGGGGGAGAGAACAACTCGAGACGGCTTAGTTGAAAGTGGAAATTGCGTCCTGTTGAGTCCGGCTTTTAACACGACTTCTGGTGGAGGCTGTTTCCGGTTCTGGTACCACATGAAAGGAGATGGGGTCGGTAACCTCTCTGCAGCAGTGGTAGAAGGTTCATCATCTGTTAGTAAATGGTTCAAGACAGGACAACAGGGAGCGGATTGGAAATGTGCTCATTTTACCCTTGAACAAGGAAAAGAAGATCTCCAGGTTTGTGTTTAATGTTATCTTTAAGTCGCATTAAGATTCTGTGGTATCAGTGAAGACAGTACTGACTAATGGGTTTAAGAAGTGGAAAGCAGTGAGTCATTGCTCTTCCTCGTTGTTTCCTTGCTTAAAGGGGTATCTCATTTATCAGACCCCTATAGGGATTTCTGATCGGAATAGGTTCCAGGCGTCACATGCTTTCACAAGAGTTGTCCAAAAAGGACCTCGGGTGAACAGACTGGAACTAGGCTGTCACCGTATTCTTATGACGTGGATCATTACTCATACTTTGGTGAGTCAGTGATAATCAGTTGATTATTTACCGACCTCTGTCATATACATGTAACTGAATTAGTGCTCACTGCCATGTCAACATAAAATCTATGTACATGTACGATACGCGTCCATGAAAGATCCATTTAAGATAAATGTCCATGTGCGATCAGTGTCTATGAAAGATCAGTGTTAATGCAAGATCCGTGTCTGTGTAAGATCCGTGGCTATGTACGATCAATGTCTATGTAGGATCCATGTCTATGTACGATCAATGTCCAGGTAAGATCCGTGTCAATGTAAGATCCATGTCAATGTAAGATCCGTGTCGATGTAAGATCCGTGTCAATGTAAGATCCGTCACGGTGTCAATGTAAGATCCGTGTCAATGTAAGATCAGTGTCCATGTAAGATCAATGTCCATGAAAGATCCGTGTCAATGTAAGATCCGTGTCAATGTACGATCAATGTCCATGTAAGATCCGTGTCAGTGTAAGATCCGTGTCAATGTAAGATCAATGTCCATGTAAGGTTAATGTCCATGAAAGATCCATGTCAATGTAAGATCCATGTCCATGAAAGATACGTGTCAATGTAAAATCAGTGTCAATGTACGATCAATGTCCATGAAAGATCCGTGTCAATGTAAGATCCGTGTCAATGTAAGATCCATGTCAATGTAAGATCCGTGTCAATGTAAGATCCGTGTCCATGTAAGATCCGTATCAATGTAAGATCCGTGTCAATGTAAGATCCGTGTCAATGTAAGATCCATGTCCATGTAAGATCCGTGTCAATGTAAGATCCGTGTCAATATACGATCAATGTCCATGTCAGATCCGTGTCAATGTAAGATCCATGCCAATGTAAGATCCGTGTCTATGTACGATCAATTCCCATGTAAGGTTAAGGTCCATGAAAGATCCGTGTCAATGTAACTTCCATGTCCATGTAAGATCCGTGTCAATGTAAGATCCATGTCAATGTACGATCAATGTCCATGAAATATCCGTGTCAATGTAAGATCCGTGTCAATGTAAGATCCGTGTCAATGTACGATCAATGTCCATGTAAGATCCGTGTCAATGTAAGATCCGTGTCAATGTAAGATCCGTGTAAATGTAAGATCCATGTCCATGTAAGATCCGTGTCCATGTAAGATCCGTGTCAATATACGATCAATGTCCATGTAAGATCCGTGTCAATGTAAGATCCGTGTCAATGTAAGATCCATGTCAATGTAAGATCCGTGTCTATGTACGATCAATTCCCATGTAAGATCCGTTTCAATGTAAGATCCGTGTCTATGTACGATCAATGTCCATGTACGATCCCTGTCAATGTAAGATCCGTGTCAATGTACGATCCATGTCCATGTAAGATCTGTGTCCGTGTTAGTGTAAGATATGTGTCTTAAGTACGATCAATGTCAATGTAAGATCCGTGTCTATGTACGATCCATGTCCATGTAAGATCCGTGTCCGTGTCAGTGTAAGATATGTGTCTTAAGTACGATCAATGTCCATGTAAGATCCGTGTCTATGTACGATCCATGTCCATGTAAGATCCGTGTCCGTGTCAGTGTCAGTATAAGATACGTGTCTTAAGTACGATCAATGTCCATGTAAGATCCGTGTCTATGTACGATCCATGTCCATGTAAGATCCGTGTCCGTGTCAGTGTCAGTGTAAGATATGTGTCTTAAGTACGATCAATGTCCATGTAAGATCCGTGTCCGTGTCCGTGTCAGTATAAGATACGTGTCTTAAGTACGATCAATGTCAATGTAAGATCCGTGTTTATGTGCGATCAATGTCCATGTACGATCCGTGTCAATGTAAGATCCGTGTCTATGTACGATTAATGTCAATGTACGATCCGTGTCAATGTAAGATCCGTGTCTATGTACGATCCATGTCCATGTAAGATCCGTGTCCGTGTCAGTGTAAGCTATGTGTCTTAAGTACGATCAATGTCAATGTAAGATCCGTGTCAATGTAAGATCCATGTCCATGTACGATCCGTGTCAATGTAAGATCCGTGTCTATGTACGATTAATGTCAATGTACGATCCGTGTCAATGTAAGATCCGTGTCTATGTACGATCCATGTCCATGTAAGATCCGTGTCCGTGTCAGTGTAAGATACGTGTCTTAAGTACGATCAATGTCAATGTAAGATCCGTGTTTATGTGCCATCAATGTCCATGTACGATCCGTGTCAATGTAAGATCCGTGTCTATGTACGATTAATGTCAATGTACGATCCGTGTCAATGTAAGATCCGTGTCTATGTACGATCCATGTCCATGTAAGATCCGTGTCTATGTACGATTAATGTCAATGTACGATCCGTGTCAGTGTAAGATCCGTGTCAATATACGATCAATGTCCATGTAAGATCCGTGTCAATGTAAGACCCGTGTTAATGTAAAACCCGTGTCAATGTAAGATCCGTGTCAATGTAAGATCCATGTCCATGTTAGATCCGTGTCAATGTAAGATCCGTGTCTATGTACGATCAATGTCAATGTAAGATCCGTGTCAATGTAAGATTCGTGTCTATGTACGATCACTGTCCAAGTACGATCCGTGTCAGTGTAAGATCCGTGTCTTTGTACGATCAATGTCAATGTAAGATCTGTGTCGATGTAAGATCCGTGTCGATGTAAGATCGATGTTCATCTTAGATTCATGACTATTTAAGATGCTTGACCATTGTGATAATGCGTAAAATTGTAGATCCACAGTTGCAAGTAAACCGATTTCACAATCGTGCTGGGGGCACGGCTGGCTCAGGCGTCTGAGGCGCCGCGATTCGCTGTGCTGAGTTGCGTCCCTTGGGCACGCCAGAAACCTATGATTGTGGGTTCGAATCCCGGTTCGCCCCGATTATGTTTCTATGTTTGTCAGCACCATACCCGTGCTCGTGGGTTTCACCGAAGTGGTAACCGTCTGAGACCTGCATCACTTCGGGCTTTCCTTCCACATTAAGCTGACACGCCGTGATATAACTGTAATACTGTTAAAAGCTGCGTTAAACCCAACTCACTCACTCACTCACAACCGTGCTATCTTTACAGGATCAATTACCTCTTGGTAAATTGTGGTTGCAGTAGCGGGTTTGAAATCTCATTCTGTTGTACCGGTTTGATATTATTCTATACCGGACAGATCGAGATGACAGCATGGACGGGTGTTAACCCAGTTGGGGACATCGCACTGGACGATTTCAAATTCTTTGAGAGCAACTGTAACGGAATAACTGATGGTAAGTACACCACGCCATCTGACCTGAGCTCCTGTTGAAACTTCCCTTATATAACGAGTACCCCTCTTGTGACCAATAATAAACTAAGGGAAAAACTTAACTGAACAAAATGTACATATTTATATTTCGAGTTCTTTTTGAAAGTCACCCAACAGTAGCAATTGTGTCGTTAAGCTGTATCAATAACATACATGCCACAGCAATGTCAATGAACTCAGAGTAATACGTCATGAAACCGCGGTCATAATAATATCACATTAATAGAAAATGTCACCGTTTTCTCAATGATAGTATGGTAGCACAACAAGTATACATGGTCTAAATGATATCACAGCAATACAACATGTCACCCCGTCTGAATGACATAATAGCAATACAACATGTCAAAATAATACAACATGTCACCTCTGTCTGAATGCTATCACAGTAATACAACATGTCACCTCTGTCTGAATGCTATCACAGTAATACAACATGTCACCTCTGTCTGAATGCTATCACAGTAATACAACATGTCACCACTGTCTGAATGCTATCACAGTAATACAACATGTCACCTCTGTCTAAATGCTATCACAGTAATACAACATGTCACCACTGTCTGAATGCTATCACAGTAAAACAACATGTCACCTCTGTTTGAATGTTATCACAGTAATACAACATGTCCACGCTGTCTGAATGTTATCACAGTAATACAACATGTCACCTCTGTCTTAAGGACATACCAGTAATACAACATGTCACCACTGTCTGAATGCTATCACAGTAATACAACATGTCACCTCTGTCTGACTGTTATCACAGTAATACAACATGTCACCTCTGTCTTAAGGACATACCAGTAATACAACATGTCACCACTGTCTGAATGCTATCACAGTAATACAACATGTCACAACTGTCTGAATGACATCACAGTAATACGACATGTCACCGCTGTCTTAATGACATACCAGTAATCAAACATGTCACCTCTGTCTAAATGCTATCACAGTAATACAACATGTCACCTCTGTCTGAATGACATACCATCAATACAACATGTCACCACTGTCTGAATGTTATCACAGTAATACGACATATCACCTCTGTCTAAATGCTATCACAGTAAGACAACATGTCACCTCTGTCTGAATGCTATCACAGTAATACAACATGTCACCGCAGTCTGAATGTTATCACAGTAATACAACATGTCACCTCTGTCTTAAGGACATACCAGTAATAAAACATGTCTCCACTGTCTGAATGTTATCACAGTAATACAACATGTCACCACTGTCTGAATGCTATCACAGTAAAACAACATGTCACCTCTGTCTGAATGTTATCACAGTAATACAACATGTCACCGCTGTCTGAATGTTATCACAGTAATACAACATGTCACCTCTGTCTTAAGGACATACCAGTAATACAACATGTCACCTCTGTCTTAAGGACATACCAGTAATACAACATGTCACCTCTGTCTGAATGCTATCACAGTAATACAACATGTCACCACTGTCTGAATGCTATCACAGTAATACAACATGTCACCTCTGTCTGAATGTTATCACAGTAATACAACATGTCACCTCTGTCTTAATGACATACCAGTAATACAACATGTCACCACTGTCTGAATGCTATCACAGTAATACAACATGTCACAACTGTCTGAATGACATCACAGTAATACGACATGTCACCGCTGTCCTAATGACATACCAGTAATAAAACATGTCACCTCTGTCTAAATGCTATCACAGTAATACAACATGTCACCTCTGTCTGAATGACATACCATCAATACAACATGTCACCACTGTCTGAATGTTATCACAGTAATACGACATATCACCTCTGTCTAAATGCTATCACAGTAAGACAACATGTCACCTCTGTCTGAATGCTATCACAGTAATACAACATGTCACCGCAGTCTGAATGTTATCACAGTAATACAACATGTCACCGCTGTCTGAATGTTATCACAGTAATAAAACATGTCACCTCTGTCTGAATGTTATCACAGTAATACGACATATCACCTCTGTGTAAATGCTATTACAGTAAGACAACATGTCACCTCTGTCTGAATGCTATCACAGTAATACAACATGTCACCGCTGTCTGAATGTTATCACAGTAATACAACATGTCACCTCTGTCTTAATGACATACCAGTAATACAACATGTCACCACTGTCTGAATGTTATCACAGTAATACGACATATCACCTCTGTCTAAATGCTATCACAGTTAGACAACATGTCACCTCTGTCTGAATGCTATCACAGTAATCCAACATGTCACTGCTGTCTGAATGTTATCACAGTAATACAACATGTCTCCTCTGTCTTAAGGACATACCAGTAATACAACATGTCACCACTGTCTGAATGCTATCACAGTAATACAACATGTCACCTCTGTCTGGATGCTATCACAGTAATACAACATGTCACCTCTGTCCTAAGGACATACCAGTAATACGACATGTCACCTCTGTCCTAAGGACATACCAGTAATTAAACATGTCACCACTGTCTGAATGCTATCACAGTAATACAACATGTCACCTCTGTCTTAAGGACATACCAGTAATACGACATGTCACCTCTGTCTTAAGGACATACCAGTAAAAAAACATGTCACCACTGTCTGAAGGTTATCACAGTAATACAACATGTCACCTCTGTCTGAATGCTATCACAGTAATAGAAAATGTCTCCACTGTCTGAATGCTATCACAGTAATACAACATGTCACCACTGTCTGAATGCTATCACAGTAAAACAACATGTCACCGCTGTCCGAATGTTATCACAGTAATACAACATGTCACCTCTGTCTTAAGGACATACCAGTAATACAACATGTCACCTCTGTCTCAATGACATACCAGTAATACAACATGTCACCACTGTCTGAATGCTATCACAGTAATACAACATGTCACCTCTGTCTGAATGTTATCACAGTAATACAACATGTCACCTCTGTCTTAAGGACATACCAGTAATACAACATGTCACCACTGTCTGAATGCTATCACAGTAATACAACATGTCACCGCTGTCTGAATGTTATCACAGTAATAAAACATGTCACCTCTGTCTGAATGTTATCACAGTAATACGACATATCACCTCTGTCTAAATGCTATCACAGTAAGACAACATGTCACCTCTGTCTGAATGCTATCACAGTAATACAACATGTCACCGCAGTCTGAATGTTATCACAGTAATACAACATGTCACCTCTGTCTTAAGGACATACCAGTAATAAAACATGTCTCCACTGTCTGAATGTTATCACAGTAATACAACATGTCACCACTGTCTGAATGCTATCACAGTAAAACAACATGTCACCTCTGTCTGAATGTTATCACAGTAATACAACATGTCACCGCTGTCTGAATGTTATCACAGTAATACAACATGTCACCTCTGTCTTAAGGACATACCAATAATACAACATGTCACCTCTGTCTTAAGGACATACCAGTAATACAACATGTCACCTCTGTCTGAATGCTATCACAGTAATACAACATGTCACCACTGTCTGAATGCTATCACAGTAATACAACATGTCACCTCTGTCTGAATGTTATCACAGTAATACAACATGTCACCTCTGTCTTAATGACATACCAGTAATACAACATGTCACCACTGTCTGAATGCTATCACAGTAATACAACATGTCACAACTGTCTGAATGAAATCACAGTAATACGACATGTCACCGCTGTCTTAATGACATACCAGTAATAAAACATGTCACCTCTGTCTAAATGCTATCACAGTAATACAACATGTCACCTCTGTCTGAATGACATACCATCAATACAACATGTCACCACTGTCTGAATGCTATCACAGTAATACAACATGTCACCGCAGTCTGAATGTTATCACAGTAATACAACATGTCACCGCTGTCTGAATGTTATCACAGTAATAAAACATGTCACCTCTGTCTGAATGTTATCACAGTAATACGACATATCACCTCTGTGTAAATGCTATTACAGTAAGACAACATGTCACCTCTGTCTGAATGCTATCACAGTAATACAACATGTCACCGCTGTCTGAATGTTATCACAGTAATACAACATGTCACCTCTGTCTTAATGACATACCAGTAATACAACATGTCACCACTGTCTGAATGTTATCACAGTAATACGACATATCACCTCTGTCTAAATGCTATCACAGTTAGACAACATGTCACCTCTGTCTGAATGCTATCACAGTAATCCAACATGTCACTGCTGTCTGAATGTTATCACAGTAATACAACATGTCTCCTCTGTCTTAAGGACATACCAGTAATACAACATGTCACCACTGTCTGAATGCTATCACAGTAATACAACATGTCACCTCTGTCTGGATGCTATCACAGTAATACAACATGTCACCTCTGTCCTAAGGACATACCAGTAATACGACATGTCACCTCTGTCCTAAGGACATACAAGTAATTAAACATGTCACCACTGTCTGAATGCTATCACAGTAATACAACATGTCACCTCTGTCTGAATGCTATCACAGTAATAGAAAATGTCTCCACTCTCTGAATGCTATCACAGTAATACAACATGTCACCACTGTCTGAATGCTATCACAGTAAAACAACATGTCACCGCTGTCCGAATGTTATCACAGTAATACAACATGTCACCTCTGTCTTAAGGACATACCAGTAATACAACATGTCACCTCTGTCTCAATGACATACCAGTAATACAACATGTCACCACTGTCTGAATGCTATCACAGTAATACAACATGTCACCTCTGTCTGAATGTTATCACAGTAATACAACATGTCACCTCTGTCTTAAGGACATACCAGTAATACAACATGTCACCACTGTCTGAATGCTATCACAGTAATACAACATGTCACAACTGTCTGAATGACATCACAGTAATACGACATGTCACCGCTGTCTTAATGACATACCAGTAATAAAACATGT